TATCGTAAGTGTCCACTTGGATTATCTTAGGCTGAATTTCTTGCAACCCACGCATAGGGCATAAATATCAGTTTGGAAAGTGTTCTCACGATCCAAGTTGGTATCCAGATCTCCACCACAAACCCTAAATTTTCTAACATTACATAAACTTTAAAGGTAATACGATGGTAGGTATTTATCCTTGCCATCCTTCACTTCCTTAATGCTACATATCATCACATTACTTTTTCTCTCTTTTCTAAATATTTCATTCTCATCCTAAACACATCACAGATGACAATGATATGTAATTGATAGTATTTTCCCCGTAATGATCTCTCATTCAATTAAACAATATATATACAAAGAGTATATAAGTATAGAAAACTGGCCACAACACACATGGGCCTGCCATAAGAAGGATGCATATACGAACTAATAAGGCTATGCTAACACCCCCCCCCCCCCACTGCGCAGTTTGAACGGAGTGAAAAATCATGAATGTTCAAGCTGAACCGAAAATCAAGAAACAATGGCGATGGAAGGCTCTTCGTAAAAATATTTGCATACTGAGAAGAAAATGGAACATGAAGAACACGAACAAGGCTAGTGGAAAATTTGACTCGAACAAAGTGCAAATCAATTTCGATATGCTTCGTACGTTGATGTTGAACTGGGTTGGATGGCATATAAACATCGCTAACATTATCACAGTAGACAATGGTAGCCTTGTCCGATACATAGGGAAGTTCAATAAGAAGATTATGAAGACAATAAGTTTCTACCACAACATTAGCAACACCACGATATTCAACATCGGTACAGGACCTCGAGGCCGTGTTCTGACATTTGGATGACCATGAGAGAATATTGTGTCCTAAAAAGACACAATAACCCGATGTAGATCGTCGCGTGACAGGACACCCACCCCATTCAGCATCAGAATAGGCAGTAAGCATGCGACTGGGAGAGGTAAATAGCTGAAGACCATGAGCCATAGTACCTCTAATATAGCGCAAGATACACTTGATAGCAGTAAAATAAGGTTCCCTCGGGTCATGCATGTATAAACAAATCTGCTGAAACGCATAAGCGTGATATTAGGTTGAGTAAATGTCAAATATTATAACGTGCCTGCCAAACTTTTATATAAGGTAGGATTAACAACAAGAGTACCAGTATCATCAAGCTTAGTTGATGAGTCTGCCGGAGTAGATGCAGATTTATAGTTGGTCATGGAAGCCCTGTCAAGAATCTCAGTAGCACATTGTTATTGAGATAAAAACAATCTGTCAGCTGAGCAAGAGGCCGAGATGCCCAAAAAATAGTAAAGATCCCCAAGGTCCAGCATAGAAAACTCGGTGCTCATTAGAGAAGTGATGTAAGACAGAAGCTAAGTTGATGAGCATGTCAGAACAATACGATCCACATATAGTAACAAATATGCCTTGTGAGTACCATGTCGATAAATAAATAAATAGGAGTCACATCTACTATGAACAAAACCAATGCGAGAAATGAAGGTGGAAAACCGTTAAGAGCAAGCATTTGGTGCCTGCTTGAGACCATATAAGGACCGTTGAAGTAGACAAACATAGTCAGGACGAGAGGGGTCACGAAAGCCCGAAGGCTAATGCATATAGACGGTTTCCTGTAGATGACCATGTACGAAAACATTTTTAACATCAAGCTGTCAAATAGGCACTAGTGAGTGATAGTGATACTAACAACTGTATGAATGGTAGCATCCTTTACCACCGGACTAAAGTCTCATCACAATCAATATCGGGTCGTTGACTACGACCATTAGCGATAAGACGCACTTTATAACACGATAAAGAGCCATATGTATTGAGTTTTTTTCTTGAACAACCAAATAGTATTAACATTGTTAGCATCAAGTGGTCTTGGAACAAGTACCCAATTCTAATTAGAGATAAGCATAGTATATTCATCATTCATGGCATTAAGCCAATTTGGATCCTTAAAAGCTTGTAAATAATTTCTGAGAGGTGGTATCAACATGTAAGTTTAATTTACGGATGGGTTTAAAAATGTCATATTTGCCACGAGTGAGTAGTGGGTGTGAAGATTGAGGAATAGAAGAGGGATTGTCATTAGAGATGGTATATGACTATGATGTGGGCTCCAAACAAGTAGAGGTAGGTGGCGAAGAAGGACCAGGTGTAGGGGTTGCATGATTAATATGTAAGGGCAAGAGAGGGGTGTGAGGGATGGGCGGAGGAGTTGATATAGGACTGGAGTAGGAATAACATTCTCAGAAGAGGTATCATGAGTATGAGAAAGGTGTGGAGTTAAGGTAGTCGATATAGGATGTGAAGATGTAGAGTCCTCTAAAAATGTGTAGGAGGGAGCTTGGTTTGGTGTCATCGATCCAAAAGGAAGAATGGTTTCATCAAAGACAACATGATAAGAGATGATGATCTTATATGTGTCAAGGTTGAGACAATGGTATCCTCTATGATTGGTAGGATAACCAAGGAAGATGCATGGTGTTGATCGTGGGTCAAGTTTATGTGAGGCATTGATATGAAGATAACAAAGACACCCAAATACACAAAGATGGTCATAGGAGCGGTGTTTATCATATAGTTTATAGAACAGAGTGACATTATGGTGAGTAGTAGAAGGAAGGATATTGAAGAGGTGAGGAGCCATATGAAGGGCTTCAGTCCAAAATGTGGGAGGAAGCTGAGCATGGAAGAAAAGAGTACGAATGACATTATTCAAGGTGTGTAGCATGCGTTCGGCTTTTCCGTTTTGTTGAGAGGTGTAAGGACATGAAAAACGAAGATGAATGCCGTTTTGAGAAAAGAGAGTGTGAAATTTATGATTTTCGTACTCATCGCCATTATCACATTGAAAACACTTTATGTCCATTTGAAATTGGTTGTGGACAAAATTTTTAAAGTGCATGAATTTGTCAAACACATTAGATTTGGAACGGATATGATAAAACCAATCATAATGAGAAAAATCATCCAAGAAAATAACATAATATTTAATACCACTCGACTTTCAATAGGAGATGCCCATACATCATAATGAAGTAATTTAAAAGGAATCTGAGAAACAGAACTAGAAGCGCTAAATGGTAATTTGACATGTTTGCCCAATTGACATGCATGACACAAAGTCGACTCTTTATTAGGAGAACATGAAATAAAACGATTCTGAACAAGGTGCTTGAGAATATGTTGACTAGGATGACCAAGATATTGATGCCAAACAGACGGAGCAATGGAGACGAAGGCATGAGAGTTTGAAGAAGTGACAAGATAAAGATCACCAGTGCTGTCACATCGGATGAGAATTCGTTTGGTGCGGAAATCCTTCACAGAAAACCTAAAAGAGTCAAATTCAATAGAACAATTATTTTCACGAACAAAACAATGAACAAAAATCAGATATTTAATAATAGATGGAGTAATTAAAACATTTCGAAGAGTGAAGTTGCGATAATGATTGGGAAGCAAAAGAGTAGTGTGTCCCATTTTTCTTACAGGTATTAAGGATCCATCACCAACTAAGGCAGATGAAGAAAAATGATTGGATTTATCTAAAACAGAGTTAAGTATACGTACATTCGAGTGCATATGTCTACGATGCATGGAAACGCCAGATGAGTAGCCACTCCCGTATCTGAAACGCATAGGAAACGGAAACTTCGGTGAAACGGCCGGGAAATGTTTCCGGCAAGTATCGGTATTCCCTGAAACGTTTCTCCCACGTTTCATTCACGTTTCACTTTTTTTTTAATTATTTGCATGGGCTTTTAATACGCAGAAATAGAGAATGGGCTTAGTCATATGTCGGTTGCTAATGCTATTACCCTACAATTAGTCAATTAGTCAATTAGAATTTAGAAGTTTGTAAACGTAAGGCTTCTGCGTAATCTTTTCATTGGTGATCATCGACTTTTATAGTTTTTTTTATTACCTCTCTGTGTCGTCGATCAAGAAGCCAAGAATAAGAAAAAAAATTCAATACTCATTCACACATTCACCACTCACCAATTCGATTATTATGGCTTCTTCTCAAGAACAAGAAACACAAGGATCATCTACATCAGTAGACCAACCTCCATTGTGGGACTTTGTGACTAAACTCGATAAACTTGCTGGAGCAGGAGGATGTTGGAAGTTCAAGTGTAACCTTTGCAGTGAAACCCGACAAGGATCATATTCTAGAGTTAGAGCACATTTGCTTGGCATAAAAGGTAATCTATTATTCAAATTAGTGTGTTTATCTATGTAATTTTCGATTTTTGATTTATGTTATTGACTTATTGTATTGATTCATGAAAATTTGTAAAGAAAAAAATTAGAGGCTGCAATTTTTGTTTTGATTCATCATTCATGTATTAGTTGTAATTTTTTATTCATGTTATTGTATTGAAGTATTTAACTATTGATTCATTAACAATTGTAATGAAATAACTAATAAGAGGCTGCAAATTTATGTATTTGTTGGCAGCAATCATCCATGTATTTGTTGTAATTTTTTATTCATGTTATTGTATTGAAGTATTGAACTATTGCACTTTTTATTCATGTTATTTTTGTTTTGATTCATGTATTTGTTGCACTTTTGATTCATGTTTTTCAATAGAAATATTTATTCAAGAACAATGGTAAAGTCAAATAAATAAGAGGTTTTTGATTCACTTTCTTGTTTTGATTAATGTAATGTAATTGAATTTATAATGTCAATGATGACCTTTTTTTTCATGTTGTGTAATTGAGAATGTCAATGTTGTTATGGTGTTTAATATAGGTACCGGGATTTCTATTTGCAAGAAAGTAACAACAGCTAACAAACTTAACATGACACAATTAGAAGATGCATATGAAAAGAAGAAAACCGAGTCACAAGCAAAAGAAGTCTAGTTGCCATGTGAAGCTGGTGTTGGATTTAAGAAAAGAAAAGGTATTTCAACACCTATTGAAAGAGCTTTTGGTGTTGAAATTAGGGACCAACTGGATCAAGAAATAGCTAGAATGTTTTATACCGGAGGTTTACCTTTTAATATTGCAAGAAATCCACACTATGTCATGGCTTTTCAGTTTGCTGCTAACAACAAAATTGATGGTTATGTACCTCCTGGTTATAATAAGCTAAGAACAACATTACTACAAAAAGAAAAATATAATGTTCACAAGCTATTGGAGCCGCTTAGGCCTACATGGAAAGAAAAAGGTGTGACTATTGTGAGTGATGGCTGGAGTGATCCTACAAGAAAACCTCTAATCAACTTCATGGCTACCTCAGGTAACGGTCCTTTGTTTCTAACGGCATTTAATTGTTTCGGGGAAGTGAAAGATAGATTTTTTATTGTCGAATTAATGAAGGAAGTCATCAATGAAATTGGTCATGAAAATGTTGTGCAAATAATTACTGATAATGCAACAAATTGTAAGGCGGCTGAAGAGATTATAGAGAGTCAGTTTCCTCACATTTATTGGACACCATGTGTTGTTCATACACTTAATCTTGCTTTGAAGAACATTTGTTCACCAAGGAATGTGGAAACAAATGAACTAACATATGAACAATATCGTTGGATAAAAGAAGTTCACGAAGAGGCGTTTGCAATAAAAAATTTCATCATGAACCATAACATGAGGCTCTCGATTTTCACCAAGTTTACTCCTCTTAGGTTGCTTTCTGTTGCTGACACTCGCTTTGCCTCCATCATTGTGATGCTTAAGAGATTAAAACTTATCAAAAGGGGTCTTCAAGCTATGGTCATAAGCGAAGAATGGTCTTCTTATAGATTAGATGACACTGAGAAAGCAAACGCTGTGAAAGAATATATTTTGAATGATGATTGGTGGGATAAAATAACATATATTCTTAGTTTCACTGGACCTATATATGAGATGATTAGAGCTTGTGACACTGACAAGCCATGTTTACACTTGGTCTATGAGATGTGGGATTCTATGATTGAGAAAGTGAAGATTGAGATCTACAAGAAAGAAAAACATTCGACATCTCAAATAAGTTGTTTTTACGACGTTGTGCATAGTATTTTAGTGGCTCGGTGGGCGAAGAATAACACTCCCCTACATTGTTTAGCTCACTCTTTACATCCAAGGTATAAGATTTTAAATTATACACTTGATTTGTATTATATATTTATGTTTTAACCTTTGGATGTTTGTAGATATTATAGTGATGCATGGTTAATGGAGGATTCTACAAGATGCACTCCAAATAGGGATGGAGAAATTTCACAAGAAAGGATGAAATGTTTTCGAAGGTTGTTTCCTAATGGTGATGAGTATGGCAAGGTCCTTGATGAGTATGCGATGTTTTCAATGCAGAGTGGTCCTTTTGAAGATTTAACAAGCATTTCAAAGATGGCTACTATGGAACCCAAGAACTGGTGGGTTAACTTTGGTGCTCAAACTCCTTTTCTCCAGACTTTGGCTTTTAGATTACTTGGACAACCTAGTTCTTCTTCTTGTGCTGAGCGTAATTGTAGTACTTACGCATTTATTCACTCGCTTAAAAGGAACAAGTTGACTACAAGTCGTGATCAAGACTTGGTTTACATCCACAATAATCTCCGACTTTTGTCAAGGACTCCGAAAGATGATGTAAAGATGTGGGATGTGGGTGGAGATGCTTTTGATTCAATGGAAGACGTCGGGTTTTTGGAGTTTTTAGATCTCTCACTAGATGAACCCGACTTTGAAAATGATTTGATTATTGATAATTAGTTACTTTGAAAATATTTAGTATTTTTGGAGTTTAAACTTTACATTTTTTGGATTTTTTTAATATATATGTTTTTTCATATTTTTATATTGCCGTATCCGTATCTTGAATTTTTGAGTTTTGCCGTTTCCCGTATCCGTTCTGTATCCGTTTCTCGTTGCCGTATCCGTTTCCGTGCAACTTAGGTAGATGTGGGGTGGCCCCAGTGTCTATGTACCTATCGGCTTGCCCCGGGTTATTCAACATCATGGTATTAAACATTTGCAGAAGGGTAGTGGACTCTGGACTTTGAGTTCGAGCTGAATAGGCTTGTGGTTGAGAAAATGAGTGTTGGGTCGGCGAAAAAATTGATGTTGTTGCTGATTTGTATTTTGATGGGCTGGCTGAGATCTTGGCCCACTTGTGTGAAGGAGATTGTCATTTGGGCTTGGCAATATTCCAAGAGAGTTGGGTCCAGTGGTAAGATGGGGAGTGTAGGTCCAGACCCAAGTGCCTTGACGTAGCCACTGATTATTGACGGTCAAGTTGTTGCCACCAGAAGCTTGATTCGGACCACTAGAGACTTGATTCAGACCACCACCATGGAGATACCCACCTCCGTTACTTCTCCCGCCGTAGCGTCCTCCTCCTCGGCCACCATGACAACCATTGCAACCCCAACGGTAGCCACCTCTGTAGTGGTGTTGATTATGATGATGTATGTGGAATTGATTAGATCTAGTGAATCATCATACAAATCATGAACACATGGAGTAAATAAATATGGTTTAAGCTCTCATTAGTTTTTGATAGAAAGAGTAAAAATGGGTTTGTTATTTCTCTCTCTAAAATTAACACTCCAAAATGATCATTACATAAATGAGTGTCACTCACTTCCTATATATAGGAAAGACAACTCATTACACAATACAAGAGGGTAAGCACAAAATACATCCAAGCCTGACTTTGCACCCTAACATTCTCCCCCTCAAAGTTAGGATTGAATGTCCCGTCTTCAATACCCAACAAGCTTGCGATCAAGACCAACTCCCCCTCGAAGTAATATCAGTCTTCAAATCGGCAAATGAATACCCGAGAAGCTTCGAATACCTACTCTTCATTCTCCCCCTTTTTATAATCAAAAAATGATTATAAAACCCATTAAGGTTGAGAAGCGCCCAAGGAATAATCTTCACATAACTCCCCCTTGATGTGTGCCAAAAATGAAACCTCGAAAAACTTGCATGGAAAAACAATCACGAAAAAGTCACGAAAAAATTCCAAATTTGTGAAAATTTTCGACTTTTGGGTGAGAGTTGCAAGATCCAAAATCCGGGTAAAAACTGCCACTTTCAGAATTTTGCAGGGACCCTTTGCACCAAAAACAGTCTAAGATGCAAAACTCTACCCCATTCGTGAAATTGGGCATAAAGTGTAAATTTGCATTAACTGTAGGGGCTGAACAGTAAATTCTTCAATTTCTTAGAGTCCAATTTCAAAGTGGGGTATGTTCTGCTAATTCTTCGAAACTTCAGGGACTAAATGAGAATCTTTCTTCACAAACTCTTTACACCAATGTCAAATGTAGACTAAAACTGCCAATTCTTTGAAAGAGCAAGGGTGTAATCCCAAACTATTCCTTTTCTTCTTCACTTCGTTACATGAAAACGAATGTCATACCACTTCGCTTTTTGTCTCAAGAATTCGTTAATGAACCCTGTATACTAGAAAACAAAGCGTGAATCCACTGCCTTCGTTTCTGGGTTGTTCGATTCGTGAATCCAACCCAAAACACCAATAACGAACTCGTACAACCACTTCGCTTTTAATCATCGACATCTAGCCATTGAAGTCGACCTTTCCCGAATCATCCATTGACATCAGACTATCGACTCCAACATCACGATTACAAGCCTTCGCTTGTCATCTCAAATGTTCATCGATATTGACTCCAATTTCGAAGCAATATCTACACCCAAACATAGTCTTCCCATTTGCTTTGACTTTTTCGTTTGATTCTTAAAATCAATTTTCGAGTTCTTAATAACAGCTTGATCTTAATCGATTTTATTTTGTACAAACTATAGAAAATCGATTCATAAGAAAAAAAGCATCGATTGTTAAGAATGAGGAGAAGAAAACAACACAGGTCAAGAACAATAGAACGTACAAACACTTAAAGCGTATGATTAGGAATGAATGAAGTGAATACGCTTGATATCTGATTGGGCTCCAACAGTAAAATCAGACAAAAGCAACTTTTGGGCTTCATAATGAATGATGAACAGTAATGGGCAAAGAAATTTGAAAAGTGATTTCAATTTTGTTGGGCTAAATGAACAATAAACGAATTTGGACTTTGGGCTCAAAATTTGTTTTCGAGAAAAATTATTTAATCAAATGATTTTGAATTTGTCTTGGTTTAATCTAAACAAAAATAATTGGATCAATCTATGGGGTTGAAACGGATTTGATCCAATGAGACAAATCGATCAAAAATTGAAAAACACAAAATAGGAAACGAAATCATGGACGTTTTGGAATCCATTTGAAAATTTGTGATACCTTTTTGACAATCTGATTTCCATTGCAACAAACAAATCAAATTTAGAATATCTTGGTTCTTTTGTTGGAACGAGAAAATCTCCAATTTGAACACTGTACCACCCACGATGCGTGTTGTACAACTCGTTCTTCATGTTCTTTGTATTCTTTGTCAATACCATTCATATAATCTTCCATCCTATCTGCTCATTGCTCATAGTAATCAGGAATCAACATAGGGATTTTGGTTAGAGAACCAAGTAGATGAGAATAAGAAGTCATCGTGTTCAAATTGAAATTCACCATTGTTGTACGGAATCAAAAGTTGAAAAGCTTCAATAAGAGGAATCTAAGGAATGAATTTTTCAGAAATCAAACACTAAATGCTCGATTAAACAAACTAGAAGCATAATCGAATCAATACAGAATATTTGTAAGGGTTTTCAAAATCAAAAGTGCAGAATATTTTGAATCTAGAACGAGACTCAAAAACTTTTGAAAACTTGAGAAAATCAGAGATCAACTATATGAATCCTGCTTTGATACCAATTATAGTGGTGTTGATTATGATGACATGTGCGGAATTGATTAGATCTAGTGAATCATCAAATAAATCATGAACACATGGAGTAAATAAACCTGGTTTAAGATCTCATTAGTTTTTTTTTATAGAAAGAGTACAAATGGGTTTGCTATTTCTCGCTCTAATACTAACAGTCCAAAATGATCATTACATAAATGAGTGTCACTCACTTCCTTTTTATAGGAAAGACAACTCATTACACAATACAAGAGGGTAAGCACAAAATACATCCAAACATGACTTTGCACACTAACATTCTCTACCACCGGTGTTGTTCTGTTGCCATGAAGGTGAGTTGTTTGTGGGGTTATGCACAGTTAGGGCATGGGGGGATGACGAACTGTCGACATGAGTGATGAAGGAGTCATATTTTTTCGTCTTGCACCATTGGTTACTCTTCACATAAAAAATGGATCAATCATCCCAGAAAGATGGAAGTGGGTCACGGTGTCGAATATTAATTCCAATATACCGGAACTTTGAAGACAATCCATTAATCATGTATGTGACAAGGTTAGTTTTGGAAACTTTGGCATCCATGTGTTCTAATCCATCAGCAATGGATTTGATTTTGTTACAGTAGTCTATAATGGAAGAGTTACCAAGAGAGATGTTTCTGAGATCTCGATCTAACTGGATGATCTTGGATGCTTTGTTATCATGAAAAACCTTTTCAAGGTTTTCCCAAACTTCATAGGCTTGCCTTTCTCATAAATCATTGAAGTACCTGAAAAACCTTTATATTCAACTAGTTAAGCATGAGGCTTAGTTAGTTCCCCAATATATATATATATATATATATATATATATATATATATATATATATATATATATATATATATATATATATATAATACATACACATAATGACCTTCAGCGAAAATTCGGTCCGCGTCTTGGCCTTCAGCATAAAGCTAATTCACCCTTTTTGCCTTCAACATAAAGTCGGTCCGCTACTTTTTCCATAAACATAATGCTATTCCGCCCGAATCTATTGGCCTTTAGAGCGAAGTTGGGTCACCCTCAACTCCCCGTATAATATATTAAGACATATAACAAACTACATTCCATCACTTCCTACACCTAACTAATTTGGTCTAATTTTCCTACTATAGGGAAACAATATCCTAACATACATAGGATATATATTGGAGCACATAACATAGTGAGAGAGCTCACCTGGACAATTACTCAAATGATTAATATTTATCCTTTCGACGATCCAACTGGCGGGTAATACGTCCAATAGGTATTAACCTATAATATTATAAGATATTAATCCTTATGACAATTTGGTAATGAAAGAAAGATTTTTCACTACTCCCAATGAATACCGAGAGTTCTATCAAATAAGGTTCAGCAAGGCAGGACAATTGGGAGGCAGGACCATTTCAGCATATAGTCTTTCTAAAATCCAACAACCAAGCCAACGTGACCATTCTAGACACCTCTCATGTAAGTTGATCCATTAATATTATAACTAGTATTACTGATAAAACTTATTTATACATTCATAACAACGACTTTGAATATAAATATAAGTCACACTTAAAGTGTAGTAAGTGTAGCTTAACTTACAGGAGTTTCTAGCGACAACCGGGATTTGCACAGATAGGACTTCGATACCGAGCACTTCTATTTTCCCCGTCCCTCTACCTCAGAGCTTCACTAAATTGGAGTTCTTCAAACTCCCGAAAATACTCCAAAAGTCGAACTAGATAGAGATAGAGAGAGATTTGGTGTGAGAAGTGAATGAGGCATGAAATGCTATTTATAGGCGGATTTTGGGTATGCACGAAGCATGGTTTTAAAGGCGTGTTGTATGCTTATGTGATATCTATCCTCTGCCCTGTTGCCACGTGTCGCGATTTTAGTGGTACTCGTCCCACCTTCTCT